AGCCGCTCACCTTACATCCTCGTGACCTGACAAACACCATGAAGAGGTAGAGGGATCTACTTTTCTGTCTCCCCTCTCCATTAGTCCATTAGTATTCAGGATGTGTTGCCTTCCTGCCTGCTGCCCGCCACTCATTCCCCAGACAGCGAATCAGCCGGCGTTGATTAATTTCAGCCTATTAGCACCCCTCGTTCCCCTCCCCCGGCTCCGCCCAGGTTAAATCCCCGTGCACACCCACGTGCACGCTCTCAGGCGGGGCGGAGGGGGGTGGGGGGGTGCTGCTGGGTGAGCGATGGCAGAGAGATTGCCAGGGAGCCAGTTGTTGTCAGAACGATATTAATGAGTGCGCTCCTCTGGCCCTCGGAGTGAGTGTGTGTGTGTGTGTGTAGATTGTGTGTGCCGGCATGTGTGTGTTTAAGTGTTTAATTTCTGAGTGTTTGCACGCCAAGTGAAGGCAGATCGGATGTGTGTGTGTGTGTGTGTGTGTATGTGTGTGGTTTGTGTATGTTCAAAGTTGCAAGCATATGTCCAATCGTACATGCTCGTAGAGGCTGTTTTTGTGTGTCTGTCGAGTAGCTGTGTGTGATATCCAGCAATGCCATGGCCTGAGGGACGAGGGCTTATGTGTGTGTGTGTGTGTGTGTGTGTGTGTGAGAGAGAGAGAGAGTGAGTGAGTGAGTGTGTATGCGCTCTGCGGAGGCCTGTCCTAGTTTCCTTCCCCTCACCAGGGAGCCGGAGGATCCAAGGACTGACGCACATCACCTGACAGCCGCCCCACTGCTCCGCGGCCCTGCACCGTGGGTGTGTGTCTGTGTGTGTGTCTGTGTGTGTGTGTGTGTGTGTGTTTGTGTGTATGTGACGGAGATGGAGTGTCTGAATTTGGGTGTGTGTCAGGGTATGTGTAATAGAAAGAGATGTGGTAGGAAATCCATCAGCTGGAGCGTCGCGGTATGTCTGTTAACGCGTGTTTGTGTTCGCAGATTGTCTGTGGCTGCAGACACACTGAGGGAGAGTTGAAGAGAGTGAATTTTGGTGTACTGATCCCCGGAGGTGTGTGTGTTCATGTGTGTGTGTGTGTGTGTGTGTACCTTGGGGCAGAGTGGAGAAAATGGTGTCACATGAAGCTCGGAGACAACAGAGCTAAATGCGGTCTACTTAACCTCAGTATGCACTGCGGCTGTGTGTGTACTAAAAAACACATCACCTGGACCGTACGATGTAAACACAATAAGTTATCGCGCCGGATCCGAACACGGCGTTGGAATCCACTTTGTACAGTAAACACTTGTCACAATTCCACAGCTTGATGCAGCCGCGCTGTTTACACGCCGCTCGCACTCAGATGCATTACTCAGGTGGGACTTTAGCAGCATTCCTCCTGAACAGAGAAGCATCGTGATGCTTTTTGTTGCAAAGAATGAGATGGGGAAAAAAAAGTACAAAATAGTTTCATCATTATCTAAAATGATTAAACACCAGATTGCACAGCAGGTCGTTTTCTTGGAATTTTGCCTTCAGATGTCTCGGTTGCCACTGCGTCTAACAACCGGTTACAGTACATCAGTCACAATAGAATAGAATAGAATAGAATAGAATAGAATAGAATAGAATAGAATAAAATAGAATAGAATAGAAAAGGAATACTTTATTGATCCCTAGGGGTAAATTCTGTTGTTACAGCAGCGAACATGAGGAGTAAAGTGGCTACAATACAAATAAATAATAAATAACAAAAATATGCTAAAGTAAAAAATGCTAAATAAAAACAATATAAGTGAATGAGGAAATTAAAATCCTGTACAAATCAGTGCAACATGTGTAATTAATACCAAAAGCAGTCAGAGGAGCCAATGGTTCTTTATTAAATTGCATCATTTCACTTTAAATGTTGCAGATATCTAATTACCTGAATCACACATCTTGTATGCAATCTATGAAACACATATGTTATTTTTAATCCAAACAATATCTTCACTGTATGTTTGGTCATAAAAGGCCTATGACTGACTGATGCTGTCCTATGATCAGGGCCTGTATTACCTCATTAATACACTGTATTTGCAGAAGGCCAATGTTGGGGATGCACCTCCAAGAACAATAAATATAATTTATGTCTTAGAAAGCAGCCACATAGCATTTGGATGAAAAGATAAACCAGATTATGTAGCAGAACAGGTGCTAAAAGGTTGTCAGCTCCTTAGGCTGATTTAAATGATGGCGTGGACATTCATAGTTTTTTTGTTTGAGCCGTTTCTACACTGATAGAACATGCTCAGCGTTTCCATTCTATCTGCTGGAATTCTGACGTTTGCTGCGTTCTCAGTGACATTTCATTTCGCCTGTTGTGTAGCTTCATCTGCTCAGGCACACAAGGCTGGTATTCTGTGTAAGTAACAGATGTTCTCATCCTGTTACCACTGTGAAGCAGATATACTGCTGACTGTAAACAGGTTACATCCTCAACATATGGTGGGGCCTGTTTTTTTTTTTTTTTTTTTTTTTTTTTTTTTTTCCATGTAGTCACTGTTGCTTGAGATAGAATAACTGAAGGAAAGTTGATGATTTAAAGGTAAAGCTATACTGGATTGTCAGTTGTGTTAGAAACAAAAGCGTTGGGGAATATGTTTGCTTGCTTATTCACTGAAAGTTGGAAGAAAATCACTAAACAAGCTGCTGGTTTGCTTTGCACAGTGCAGATAATGAAAATAGTAAGAGTTAGCCACGCTGGCTTTTTTCTGGCTGATAATGAAATGGTTTTTATTTCCTTCATAGTTTGATTATCTCATAGAAAAGCTGAAGTGCTGGTTACGAGCAGTGACGTTAAAGAACCACGTTATTGTTATTGTGAGAATGCTCTGCAACCAACAGAGGCTGCATTTACATGGATTTGAATACGTGATGGGAGTGTCCCATTTCTATGTTTGCATATGCAAATATATCCACATTTCAGAAACCTGGATAAGCCTCTTTTCCAGATTCTGTTCAACCCAGTCATGCTAACTGGAGAACACAGAAAGAAACCAGGACACCGTTGCAGGTACACATCCTGTCTCTGCTGCCGACTACCTGCACAGGTGCGGCTTCGGCAAACTGACAAACAGAAGCACGAAAAAGTGATGTTCCACACAGTTTGTACAACGCTAACGATGAATCTCACTTTGTAGTTTCCTCTGGTCTCATGTACAGTCCAACCATGTCACGCAGTTGGTGAAAAGATGGAAATTTCGTTGCTCTCGTCTCGTTTTGCTAAAAAAAATTTGGATAAACCAAATCTGCAGCGGTGGCATTTAACAATGCTCAGTCTGTTTATAAGCAAAAAGTCATTTCCAAACGCCACAGTCAAATTCATTTAAAGGTGAGCTAACAGGTACAGAAAGGTTAGAATAAATCCTCGGTTTTGTGTTGTGAACATCACTCGTGCAAAGAGCGCTCAATAATCAGGAGCTAGTGTTTGTTGTGGATATCGGCAAATGAATAACCGGATTTCTCTCTGCACCACGTCAACCTCATATCCTGGATATGATCAGAAAAGGGATGCAAATAAAAGCACTCAGAGACACCAGGAAGTCACTACTGCCGGGCAAGAAATAGTTCCACAAATAAACAACTTTTCATGAGGAATAAAGAAATAGTTTACAAGTTAGTTTTAGTGACAGTCGAGTTGTTTGTATTGGAAGCTAAACCATCAGCTGTTATCTTTATCATACAGATGTGAGTGGTGTTAATGTAAAAAGCCAAACCAGAACTCAACCAAAATGTGGAACTCTACCATGTTTAGTGTCGCAGTGCGCCGATAGATGCTCGATGCTTTCTCTTGTCCGACCGCAGCGCAGCCGACAGCAGAAACGAGAATTTTTTTTTAAAACAGCTTGCAACAACTCGCAAAGTCAAACTCATTTCGGAGCTGAACTTCCATCTCCACTTGAATTAGCCATCTGTCTCCTCACTTCTTTGATGGCGTCTATTTTTAGAAGGTGAAGGGTCACATTTGATGATTCGCGAAATATCCATAATCACATATTCTAAATCTCCTGTGACCACTTCAGTCCATACCTTATGAGAGGCTGATAGCATATTCATAGTCGCGCAGGTCTATAGGCGCACACGCCGCACCGGCCTGTGTGCTTTATTAGAAAAAACTGTCATGAATATCTTATAGGCTGCTAATGCCGTGTGATACATTAGGATCTGAACACATTAAAGTTTTAGGAGCACGTTAGATTGGCAAAGACAGAGGGATTAGGAGAAAGAGGTGGGAAGGGGGTTTTGAAAGAGGATGTTTGGATGTTTTGTCGTCTTTGTTGAGCTGATGTCATGTTTCCGGCTCGCGCAGACGTGTGAGAGCAGCCGGGGAGGAACGACGCAAAGATGGGGAAAACTGAAGCCACCAGGATGGAACGTGGTGCAAATTAGATCAATGAGATGTGTGCGCTTTCAATAATTCAATATCCCTGATCTTGGGCGCTGCGTGGCTGAAGGGTTTGACCCTCCCGTCCCCTCCCCCTTCGTAATATTGCTGAATTGCCAGTTTAGAGTATGATAGTTTTAGTCGGTCCCTCTCCCCGCGTCCTTTCGTTCGTGCTGCTGACCTGTGAGTTTGGCCTCGTCCCTGCAGAGAGCCGCCTCCCACCTGAAACAGCCTTTATGTGTGTGTGTGTGTGTGTGTGTCGCTGCTGCATCAGCGCTGGTGTTTCACATATGAGAGGTCGCGACCCTGCAGCCCGGAGTACACTTGTCTTCATCTGACTGATTACATATTAACACCGCGCACACACACACACAGTGGTTTGTGGGTGAATTGTCCTTTGACCCTCAGTGAGGAGCGACTTGTTCTCCCAGTGGTTGTGCAGGGACCCGGTTCATTAAAACAGAATATCGGAGCTGAAAAACCTTCTTCTTCATTCTTTTTCAGATTTCTATCTCCTTTCCTCTCTGCCCAGCAAGTTAATCTGTATTTCCATGATGCTGAGATAGAAAATGTTGTTGTTGTTCTGCTGCAGGTAAACGGCTGCAGGAGTGGGTGTGTGTGATTCTGTGCCTCTTCCTCTTCATCATCAACTTCTCCTTCCTCCTCCTGCACTTCTCCACCGTCCACATCTACAGGATCGTCCTCGGCATCGGTAAGCTGGCGCTCATCAGAATCAATCTGAATATAAAGTGCACATATTCCATTAAAACTATCCGTCGTTCAGATCATTTTTTTTTATTAATGTTGGAAATGATTCCTAAATGTTTACATCTAATAACAACATATGTTATTCCTCTTTTATTTTCTCCATGTATTTCTGTGTTTGTGTGCCAGTCCTAGGAATAGTGACGGCAGACTTTGCGTCGGGGATGGTCCACTGGGGGGCCGACACCTGGGGGTCTGTGGACATCCCTGTTATTGGCAAGGTGAGCACACACAACCACACGTTCTAGTAAATAAAGCAGTTATCCTCACGTTCCTTGACACAGCCATGCTAGACATTAGGCCCATGCTTTTGGCCAACTTGGGCTTGTGTCAACACATAGAGTTGGTCGTACATAGATGTGTTTTAAACGTGTCTTACAGGTTATTTGACTCATGATGGGTTTTACAAGAACAGTTCTCACTCCTTTAATAGTTGGTTTGCCGTTCAATATATATGCAATTATAGCTAATCATTAAACTTTTGATTCTTCCGACTAGTTGGCAGCAAAGAACTGAGCGAGCCTGAGCTTCTTTCAAGGCCTCATGTTAAATGGATGTAATCCTCAACAGAGAGAACTTTTTAAAACACCAAACTTTTCCCGTGATAATTCTAATAATCATTCCACTAAAATTACTGTAAATATCAGTAGAGGTTGTTTTTTTCCCCCCCTTATTAATTACTTTGCACACAATTTCAAATTAAAATACAAGGAAAAAATAGACAAGGACAATGATGAGATGATAAAAATTCAGTTTTTTTCTCATTTTTAAAGGCTAATTTTTAAAAAATTGGCCTTTTTTTTTTTTTTTTTTTTTTTAAATCATTCAAATTCAACTGGATGGTTAAAAACTGGTTTTCTGTGCGACAGACTCAGAAGACACACTTATTCCTGCTTCAGACAGTTTTTAAAATGTTTCCGATTATAGTAAAGCGCTGGACTGACCCAGTGAGGATTAATGACACTGCGCTGTAGCGGCGTCCCGTCTCTCCTGAGGCTGTGTCACCATGGCAGCGTGGTACTGCACCTTATTCCCCCGAGCTCCGGGACCGCCATAGTGACCTGGAAACTAAATGTCACTGTAACACAGAGGAAACTCCCCGCGGACGGCGATGTCCGCGGCTCCCGACGCGCCCGGGGGGCCACGAGTTGTTCACGGCCTCACCTTGAATCCCCACCAACCTGTCACCTCGCAGGAGACGCGCACATACATACGTGGGTGTGTCTGAGATGGATGTGCACACACTCAATTTGCACGTTAAAATACATCACCTGCACTAATGTGCGCACACACTTTTGCCACATCTCCCTCAGCCAATTAGACTAAAGGTTATCTCCATTTCATCCAATTAAAATCAGGGTGATCAGGTGCAGCATGCAGATTGGTTCATGTGAACTTTGTTTTGATTAATGGGGGGAGAATTTCGTGAGTGTGTGTGTGTGTGTGTGTGTGTGTGTTTTATCTGCCGTTTCTTGTACGTATGAATAATTCATAGATAAATAATTCAATGAAATGTTGGAGCTAATGTGTGTTTTGAAACCCCAATTAAAACAATAGTTGTTATTCACACTGAACTCATATATTATCAATGTATGATTAATAATCATATAATATTATTCACAATTTAATTAAAATTCATGTAATTTGTCACGGGAACTTTGCACCACCGCAAGAGGAAATGCGTATTTTAAAAAATGCTCATTATAACAGACCAGACGCAAAAGTGTCGAGTCATTTATATTCATGTGTAATGTCATTACTATAACAAGGTGATGCTCAGTCGCACAGAATCGGCCTCATAATGAGTTGTGAGATGTCAGAAGTAAGATCTACACACTGATGCTGATGCATGTAGTAATTTACAGCTGCATAAAAGTCTATATTATATGTTAACACAGATAAACTTGACTGCTGCAGTCTTGAAAGTGCATTTGACATGAGATTTAAATAATTTAAAGTGACTAAAGTCTGTCATTTTTGTAGTTCTTTCCTCCTTCTCTCTCTGCAAACCATCCAAGGAGTGAGTCCTATGAAGTGCAGGTTGAAAGCTGGTTATGAATCAAGAAAGATTGTTCTGCACATTTTACAGTATAACTCGTAATTCTTGAGCTCCACTGTGCCATATTTGTACGTTTTATTAACTCACTACTGCTGCTGTCTAATTTTATTTAATTTTAACGGAGCATTTAAAGCTGCAGTAATAATGTTTTCATACCTATTTGTTGTAATTGTGTTATTTATGTGTGTAGGACTGCAGTTAAATAAAGAAAATCTTGGTTGAATGAAATCTGAGCTACTTTTCAACCAATCGATTGGCCACAGAGGACAAAAAATGACCTTTTGTTAATGAGAAATAAGCATTAAAAAGCTAGTATTTGCAGCTTGTTACATCACTAGAACCTCTTTATCCTATACGAGCAGTAGACTCAGAGCAGCTGCTGATATTTATATGATTTCTGAGGATAGAACTTCATCAGCTTGTGATTTCAACTATAGAGGAAGTAATGCAGACGAGTTCTCCTGCTGTTTTTATACGAGCTGACATGTTGGAAGTTTACACAGAAGTTTCTTCTATTTTAACAAAATGCCGACAACATCTTTGACATGTTAGTTTGGAGTTGACTGCAACGTTCAGTAAATGTTAAATAGGTTAGACGTAGCAGTTTTTATTGGGTTGGGCCAGTTGTGGCAACAGCAGAAGTGTTCACAGATAGTTTGTTTCTCCAGCCGCCAAAAGTTATTCAGTCTGGAAGGCTCCTGACTTCAGTAGTTTCTTCCTATAGAAGTAACACCAGATTTTGTCTAACCTATAGGAACTTTGTTGGATAAGAGCATATCAACAGTGGAGACTGGAAACATACATAAAATCGACGTGTAAGATGGTTAAAAAATGTGTTGTACTGATCACAAAACTGTCATAAATGAACATTGCAAACAAACTGTAACGTCCAAAACCGTTTAAATATACGTCACCTGAAGATTATTTCTTTCCTAAAACAAGATTTGGTTTTTCATTACAAAACATTTAGCAAAAAGTGTTGCCCTTAAATCACCACGGAATAAGTTCAAAATAAATAAATAGATAAAAAGAATAAGAAGTGGACATTTAGTTTCACCTCCATCATAGGTGAAAGTGTTTTCTCTTCAGGGAGAGCAACAAACCTGCCCGATACATTAACACACCTTTGGTCAAATTGCTTCCCATAGAAGACTCTACAGATATGTTACAATTATTGGATTTTTAATGTCACCAAACCCTCATTATTTAAATGGGAGAAACCTGACAGTGTTTCAATATTCTAATGAGTTCTGCTTCATCTGAAAGATGCTGTTCATAGTAACTAACCTACTCATAGTTATCAGTCAAAACTTTCGTCTTCCCTTCAGCTTCATGAAACATTTTAGCAACTCATTACTTTGGTTTAACAGCCCACAGCTCCGCTGTTCGGTTGTCCTTCACTGATCTCATTACCTCCGGCAGCTGTTTTCAGCGAGACAGCTCACATAAACCAACAAGTACACGACTCAAACAGACGGCAGACAGAGTTAGCAACCAGAGCCCTGCGCGGGACTGCTTTCTTAATCCTGCTCCCACTGGATTTCTGACCATTACTGCTCGCTCCCGCAACGTGTGTGTCCACATCCGCCTGCACCCGCAAATATTCTGACCGCCGTGGCCCGCTCAGCGTAGAGCTGCACTGATTCTCAACCTGCTGTGAAACAGGTTGTTTTACTGTGCAGAACAGAGAGATGCATGTTTGTCTGTAATATTGTAGCAAAATTACAGCGACATTAATCAGAATTAGTTATTCGACGACAGAAATGACACATTTCATGCAGTTCTTGGCAGTGTCTTTTTAACATGTGCAGGAAGAAGTGTTTTTTTTTTTTTTTAAATATAGACTGAAGCAGGTATTCCAATATTTAGCACATTTTTTTCAACTAAGTCTTTTCCATCTTTGTCAGAAACAACAAAAACATTTGGACAAACCTGAGACTTTCCTTGCTGTGCTTAAAAAAAAAAAAAACATGCAAAAAAAGTGTGGTCATCTTTTTTTTTTCATTTGTTGCCTCCATGCTTCTGGTTAATGCCTGGAAACTGGTTGTTTTTTGATCGCCTGCTCTCATCAGCAGCAAACTTTAAGAGGTTTGCAAGATTCACTTTGGGTTGTGTGGGACTGTCAGAGCAATTAGCTAAAAAGCTGCACACTTTTCTGAAAATGTGGTAGAAACCAAAACAAAGCTAAAGCAGATATTAATATCAGAATTGGAGACGCCTACAAAAATGTCCAAAGAAATGACAAGGGTTTGTTGTTCATAGCAGCTTCATGATAGAATTATACCACAGAGTTGAGATACAGCTCGATAAAGACGATTTCCTTCTTTTGTTGACTTTGTGTTGATTTCATATTAATTATCTGATCACCTGTATTTTTGTTAATAAGGATCATTTAGTTGAGATAACCCAATCCTGTATGTGCGCTGTACAGTCAGAAGCCTCTGAAGGCTGGTTTTTTTTATTTTTTTTGGAGCCCCGTGTTACTTTTTTGTGTTTTGTGCCAAGGTATTATGTGGTTTTGATGTTTATTTATGATGTGGCATTTAGTGAGGTTTGGGGTAGTTACCGGGACCAAAGGCACAGCGGCAGGCACAGATTTGCATGGTGTGTTGGACACTGTAGGAGACCTCTAATAAAGACTTTAACTGGAAGAGAAGAATGGACTTTTGCAGAGAACAGAGGGATGACAATAGGCCAGTGGAAAATACAGTGTATGTGTGTGTGTGTGTGTGTGTGTGTGTGTGTGTGTGTGTGCAACAGACAAACTAACACCTTAGTTGTGTTTTTTTTTTTTTATGTGAGTTTGGAACCTGAGAATAAAGCGGGCCTGTGCTCCCAGTTAAGGCTAGTTTGAATATGAAAGACGAGCGCGACGCAGAACACCTGAGGCTAATAGTGGTTGCAGTTATAAAGCTAGACGGAGCATTTGAAGCCGGTGTCGCTCTTTGTCGCTTGTTTGTTCTGTGTTTTGTTAGGTTTTTTTTTTTCTTCTGTTTGTGTAAGTATGTCCTGCGTGTACATGTGTACGTCCTGGCTTTGTTCCCACCTCCCTGTCGCCTTTATTTGTTAAGGCCTCTTTAAAGACGTCGCTCGGATTGTAGAGGTATTAATGCAGACACGTGTCGTCTGCACGTATGGACTCCGGCTCTCTGATTTTTTTTTTTTGCCATACTTTGCCTGCAGTGTCATAAATCCGCTGTTGTTGCATCATAACCAATTTTACCAGAAGTGAAGGCCGCTGAGTGGCTGCACAAACTCAATCCCAACCTGGTTTTATTCTAGACGAGGACGCTTGGCCTCTTTTTTTTTTTTTTCTTAATGCTGACAACTGCTTTCTAACTTCCTCTTTTTTTTTTTTTTTTTAAAAAACCCTGATTTCAGCTTTGTCTTATTTGTGTGCCTAATGTTGTGTTGTCCTGTCTCCCTTGTAAAAGAGGCTGCTAACCTCAGTGGGATTTACCTACTTAAACAGAGGTTAAATACAAAAAAAAAGGAAAAAAAAAAAAAAACAGAAATAAGTAGGAAGCAGCGATGAAAAGTCAGTTAATTGTGTAACCTCCTCGTGTCCTCTTGAATATATTTGCATAAAGGTAGTTAATAAAAACATGCACTGATTCACGTTTTATTTATTTATACTTAAAAACAATTTAATTCATTAAAACACAAACAAGGCCCGTCCCTGAAGCTCTCGAGCAGCAACATACAATATTAACATCATTCCTCCAAACGTGCATCATGTAGAAATGCACTTTTCTTGGACACAAACCTGTGATGTGCAAAATCCCAAACCTGAGTGTCACACGGTGCTTGTTTCTGTCACCGTCACACCTCCTTTAATTCCAATGTCGCTCAGAAAAAAAGCAGAATTATTCCACATTGTGCTGCTGCTGCTGCTGTTCTTCATTAGAAACTGCTTTGATTTGAGCCCGTAAAAGCCTCTTTTTTTTCCTCTCTCTCCCTCCACAGCACTAAAATCGCAGCACAGTCTTAAAAAGTGCGCGACAATCTCCCAGTAGTGTTCAGAACAATTCCTTGGCGAGGCTTTGGGCCATGCTGTTTTTTTTGTCGTCATCATGTCGTTGAGCTTTAATTGACTCAACAAGGATTTCGCAGTCCTCTAATGACACCACTTTGAGGACAAAGTCACGCTCATTAGTTCCCAATGATGCTCGATTCACACTGAAATTTGCCAGATGTGCTTCCAGTTTAGGGATGTATGTTTGAAGATCCTCCCTCCCTGTCTGTTTTACTTCTATAGTCCTCTTTTAAAGCATCAGCACTTCTCTCTCCTTGTGTCAGTTTCCCTCTTTTCTTGTTGCATCTTTAACCAACATGTCTTTTTCAAGGCGGCTCTCTGGTGAGACTGATTAGACGAAGGCTTAATTGAATTATGGAAGTCGGTTCCTACTAAAAGGCCAGAAAGGGGATGAAGGAGAGCGATAGTTAGGAGCACAGAAACATTTGTCCAAAAAGAGAGAAATAAAAGAAGAAAAAAAAACGACAGAAAGTGAGATGAAAATATAGCAAAAAGGTCGGAAGGACACACACACAAAAAAAAGAAGGGGGTGGAAGGGCGTGTCCGTCCGAGCAGTGGGACGGCGCTGGTTGCTGGGGCGATGGGCGATGTGAGCTGGTGATTAACGGACGTCTTGCAAGGCAGGCCGTTAAACGGTGTGGGATTAGAGGACACGCAGCGACCGGTGGCCCGCCGTTAACTGGGAGCGCCGATGCCGCCCTGCTCGGCACGACCTCCACGGCTTAGCCGGCCTTTCATCTAGCTGAGGGCTGCAGTGAGAGGAGGAGGGGGGAGAGGGGGGAGGAGAGGTGGGGGAGAGGCAGAACAGAACGGCGATGGGCACATAATTGTGAGGACATGAACAGATAGTTTCGGTGTTTGCGGTGACACCTACCAAAAGATGTGTCCGCTGATGGGCGAGTGTGATTGTTTCGAACAGCTAACCGCCGACTATAATGAGTTTTCATGCTGATGCTTCCGCGGCTGCACACACACACAAACATCTGTGGACACACACACACGGCACACCAAAACACATGCAAACCTTCTCTTTTTTTTTTTTTTTGCTTTCTCCACAGAGGAAAATAAATTACCTTTATCCTGTGTGTGCATGTGGGTGTGTTTCTTTTTGTCCTCTTTTGTGCTTCTGAGATTCAGATTCAGTCTTTCATTTGAGACCCCCGTGCTCTCACAGACAGGTGTCTGCCTCTGCACAGTGCAGGTGGGGTTTTCATGAGCACGCGTGTGTGTTGTGAAGCTCGCATTTTTGAATTGATGTGCACCGTCCACAGGTCATTTATGTGCACGAGCGTGTTTGCGCGAGCCGACTGCTGTTCTGTGGTTTATTAGGATGCTGGATATGAGCTTTGGGGTTACGCAGGATGTTTGGCATCACTAAATGTGCTGCGTGTGTTTGTGTGTTTGATCTGCATTTGTGTAAAGACTGTAAACAATGTTTTGTGTTGTGATTTCAAGTGAATGTAAATGAAGCAGTGACTTCCAGCCTCTCTGTGCTTCATCGCTGTTATCCCATTAGCTTCATTAACTGTGTATGTTTAACTACAGGATCAAAAGCAAGCGAACACATTTCACCCGAATAGAAACATATAAAGGTTTCAGAATAAAGCTAGTTGTCATGACTGCTGTAGAAATGATTGAGGTTTCAGTAATTATAGAACATTATGTTTTATGATGCACTTACAAAAGTATTTTTGAGCAGTTTGGAATCTGTGGGAACTTCTTTCATCAGTATTCGGTTTATCAAAAGAGGGACGAACATTTCATCATAATGATTTCTGTGTGTCTCCATTCAAACTGACATCACACAAATGTAACCTAACGATTGGTTCATGACAGTCCAGTGCTGCATGTTGCAAGCATGAAATGTTTGAGGACAAAGTTGTGCTGAGCTCAGACGAAGGAAGGATACACAGAAAGGATGTGTTTTGTTTGTTACACAGCCCATAATTTTTCTCTCTCTGTGTCTTTAACTTTTCACAGGCATTTATCCGACCGTTCAGGGAGCACCACATCGATCCCACCGCCATCACTCGCCACGACTTCATCGAAACCAACGGCGACAACTGTATGATCCCCATCCTACCACTGGCTCACATGGCCAACAAGTTCCTCACATACACACCAGGTACACGTCATTTAACCAACCCACCTCGAATCATCAGGGGCCTTCTGCGCGGCCATCTCTGATTTACTTCATATTGAAGTATAGATGTTTATAATAGCATCAATGAAATTTCAACTTAAAATACCAAGTAGATTTTTTTTTTTTTAAATTGCCCACAATTAACTCAGTTCCAGCACCTCTTTTCACTTATTGAAATTTAAGGTTATTTAAACAACAATATCTCAGGACCTATAAAAGATAAAAGCCTGAAATTTAAATTGTGATTTCTCATTATAGTGTCTATTCAGAATGTAATATTGGACAAGTACATCTAATAATACCTGATTATGGGTGAGCTGAAATAAGAAAAAAAAAAATTGAAACTCTCCCATCTTTGAGCACAAATGAACAAAAAGCTGATACTGCAGAAGACAACTTGTGATATTTCCTCATCTACATGTAGCTGCACGTCACAGGAATACGAAACAAAACTGAGTGCTTTTTAGTATGAAATATATGATCACAAAAAGGATGTTAATTTGTTGAACTTTCATAACTCATTGAACCAGTTTGACGAGCTCTACCACAAAAACAAAAATATTCCTCGATAGAGTTATTCAATTAGAAAAGAGCTCTGGAGTTTCAAAATAGTTCTCAAAAACTACCTAGAAAATGTTTTTTCTATTGCAGATTAATAATCAATGTCATGATGTGAAATAACTGGAATGTCAGGCTTTGATCTGTAATAGTTCCTGAGATACTGTTGGTCAAACATACTATCAAATTTAAATGCGTCAAAAAATAAAATCAAATCAAATGGAAGAAAAAAGTTAATTGTTTTCATCACATTCTACCGTCTGTGATTGGGAAGTTTGAGACCCTAAAACCTGTAGAGGTTCGAGAATCACCACTGCAGCAACATGGATGTGGTTTCTCATCAGCTTCCTACCAAAGAACACGATTACGTCCCATCAAGCTGAATGTCAGGACTTCAGAAGGTCGACGGCACCGTGTCCAACAATCTGTAGCAGTGACTTAGTGCTGCAAGGTGCCAAAGTGTGGGAAGTCATGGGAAGTTGTAGGAAAGCATGGGGGCAGTTTTCATGGTAATCATGTGCACTGACCTGAGAGTGCAGGGCAGGAGGGGAGGGACTGGAGGAGGAGGAGCAGCAGGAGGAGCGGAGCAGGCTGTTATTGAGGAGGTGACACCTCCACCTGTCATGTCTCCACTTCAACTGGAGCTCAGAGGTCAGTGGTGGGAGGAGAGGAGGGGCGGTGGCATCGCTTTGTTAGGTTAAAGGCTCGGTGAGCGGCGGGTTAAGCTCTTCACAAGCACCTGGACCTGAACATCTGTGGTGCAGTTAAAAAGTTAGTTTGATAGTTGATCTAATGATGAAACAAACGATAAGTTATTAACATGTAAAGAGCAGCTACAGTCTTAACTCAACCTAGAAACACTGATCCCAGCTCTGTGTACAACTGGTAATAACAAGCACAGCCTAACATTGTGCGTTTTGTTAATGTGACTTTATGTTGCTTTCCACACTTTAGAGAAGACTCAGTTATGCAGGATTAAGTAGAATTTTTGTAGCAGTAGTAGCACCCATATTTAGCACCTATGTACTGAACTGAGGTGCTAATATTAGCAAAATATTGTAGTCCGTGTTTTATGTTGAAGTACAGTCATTATTGGTTCTCCTACATGCTTGAAAACCCAGGGCTGAGTGAGATGGTTGTGATTACTGACTGTAAAAGACAGACATAGCCTCTGGGTGACTTCAACGTGAACTGTTTTTAATGGGGCTGCACGGTGGTTCAGTGGTTAACACCATCGCCTCACAGCTAGAAGATCCCCAGTTCGAGCCCCGGTTAGTACGACTGGCATCTTTCTGCGTGGAGTTTGCATGTTCTTCCTGTGCAGCGTGGGTTCTCGCTCTGTGTTAATTGGTGATTCTAAATTGTCCCTGTGCTTTTCTGGTCTCTTACAACATCAGTGAGGATGTGTTTCCATTGCAGAAATGGTTAATTGAAACCTTTTGATTTAGGATGCTTCGTTCGTGGGACTTTTTCTCACATTTTCATTCAGTTTTGTGCACTTAACAAAATACCTGCCACTTGCACGACATGTGTTTATTTATATTTTATGTACTCCATTGGTCTCGAATTCTCTTTTCGGATATCCCAGGAAGCTGGAAGATGCAGGGTCAGCATCATTGGAGGGTTCAGGGCCTTGCTCAGGGACCAGTGGCAGCTTGGTGGAGTTGGGCCTTGAACCCTCTGATCAGTGGCCCAAAGCGCTAATCACTGAGCTACCACTAGTTTTTTTTTTTGAATGTGCTGGACAGAAATAAAAGCTTATAGCTATACTATGTTCAGTTCTATTTTTGTAGTTGTATAGTTCACAGCTACAGTATCACTAACTGTCCCATGACTATACAAGTTTATAATCTAAAATGAAAAGAGGCTGTTTACATCAAATATATTAATACCAACATATGAAAACAAGATTTAAAAAGTGGAATTCTCTTTAATCAGTCAATGACATGACAGATGTAGGAAACGATGCTGCTGACACAAATGGAAAGATTGTGACCAATGTGTCGACATAAAGAAATGGAGGAAAGACGAGCAGAAAGGAAACAAGGATGCAAAGGTCAGCTGCTTGTCCACATGAGGGATCAGCGAATGGGGGCGATGAGGGAGGACAGATTAGAGGGGAGAGAGCAGTGGTGAGGTCCACTTGTAGGTGACATCCACACCTGTCATGTCGCGCACCGCGGGGAGTCAAGAGGTCACGAAACAGAGACGGAGAGAGACGCCGTGACATCTACACCTGTCATGTCTGCACCTGAAGAGGTCACCGCTAAGAGTTTGAGACAGAGGGTGAGAGCGCTCGGAGAAAGGGAGGAAGCGAGAGGGAGCGAGGCGCGGGGGTAGCGGAGGGTCATGTAGCGGTGAGATGACATCTAAACCTGTCATGTCAAGCTCCTCACAGTGTCAGGCGGTCACCAGACAAAGACGGAGACGGAGGTAGATGGGGGGAAGCAGGAAACCGTGAGGTGACATCTCCAGCTGTCATGTCTGCACTTGAACCGGGGTCGAGACATTGCAGTTTTAACCAAAGAGAGGGAACGAGGGATGGAGGCCAACAAGAGAGGACAGGTGTAAGTCATACCGACAGAAAGGCTCCAGTGAATAACAAGAGTTAGCGATGTGACAGGCGGGCTGCAGACTTCTGATGGGCTTTAACCGGAGCACAGACATGGAAACCGTTTCATTAAGCGAGTGGATCAGTTGCTTGAATATCCCAGCTCGTGTTACAACAATGTCTTGTTTTCATGCATTATTATCTCCAGATATTATGCTCCCAGCTGCTCCCATGTGTGAGTCCTGGTGTTTTTGTCACCTGTCAGCTCAGATCAGCTCTGACACAATACACATTTCCCAGCTACCAATGACATCTTCAAGAACTCTTTTTATGGCTTTGGACATGTTGGGAGTAAACATTTAGGAAACCTCGTCAACACTTAAACTACGGCACTGAATATTTACGTTTTTAGTCACATTATAGGTGTCACTTCTAAGAAAACCAATATATATATATGTGTGTATATATGTCACGTCATCATCCTGTTAGTCAGTTTGATATTTTCCTCTATTAGCATTAGCTGTATATACGATTAATTGCTAATTGGTAGATATTAGCCTGCTTATATGCTAAACTATGATGCATTGTCATTGTCAGTATGTTAACATATGAAGTTTGCAAGTGCAGCTTTCTGCACGTCTTGTTTCATCATATTGAAGGTTTTGTTCATGCTTTACTTGACAATCATCAGTACTTTGGCTCCTACTCACTACTACTTGAGTCTAAACTGAGACCTGTTAGCCACAGCATAACCTAGCTGATATGGTGTAGGTCACCCTTGTGCCGCCAAAGCAGCTCTAGTCCACCGTCTGATGGTGTCCGATGATTTTTGGATTTGGTACATTGGTAGTAGATCCTTTGGGACTGAAAACGTAAATCCAATGGATACGCAATCAGTTTGCGATTTGAGGAGTTTAGAGGTTGAATGAACGCCTTTGGAGTCTCTTGGTCATGTTCCTCGAGCCCTTTCTGACAAAGTTTTTGAGTTGCAGTGGGAGGTATTGTCCTGCTGGGGGATTGTTCTGCTTCTGTCAGTGGGTTTAGATGGTCTGTGTTTAGGTAGGTGGTATGTGTCAGATTACGTTGCCTTATAATGAGATGATCAGTGTTTTTCACCTGTAAGTGGTTTTGATGTTCTTGCAGACTAGTAGTGCTACATTTTAATAGACCAGACAAAAGAAGAAAAGGGATAATGGCTTCTGAACTGATGGAAATCAGTGACGGAATTTGTAGCACATTCTAAAGAACTGAGGTGGAAACACAAGAAATTAGAAATAAAGATTGTCTCTTATTATTGGATGTCTCAAACTAGGATTTGCATCTGTCATTTAAGAATCGCTAAGTTTGTAAAGCACAAATTGAGATCAGTTAATTTAACTTTTTATTTTTTATAAATTTCTTTCACTTCCTATTAAACAGCACATAATAAAAACCCACCTCACTCCAGGCACAAATAAAAAATTACACTGAATAGAAGGATTGTTAAATTCATCTATTTGCGTTCTGCTGGTATACAGCTTCAAGTGACCTCTTATTGTGTAAAGTTCTGTTTCAATGTGACTTCCTCCCACAATCCGTAAGCTACAATCCTTTATTCTCCAGCCTTCATGTGAAGTTCAGCTGCACCTTCATGTGAATACGACATAAAAACGCAGCAGCACACCGTCTGTCCGGTCCCACGATGGCTTTGTGGGGAAGATGTGTAGTTCTTCTGGAGAGTAGGGTTGTGGAAGTTGTTTAAATATTTAAAGGTGAGGGGTGATGATTCATAGTTACATTTTCACATCAGTGGGACTCTTACTGGCTCAATAAAGAACAGACAGAATAAAAGTGTAGTTTTTGTGCGGCGGGCGTAGAGGAAGTGTCTCGCTCCTGATTGACTGATTTAGAAGCTTGTGATGCTGCAGCTGACTTGATTTAAAAAAAAAAAGAAGAAGAAATGTGTTCAGTTCATGTCAAATGACTGATCTCCTCTCGGCCTCTCTGATTTTGGCACTCTGTAATTTTTGGAAGCTCCTTTGACGTTACAGTTTTTTTTTTTTAGCACTCTCGCCACATCCCTTACTACTTATCTCTGTCCTCCTCTCTCCTGCTGCTATTTTTCCCCATCTTTCTTCGTCTCTTCTTTTCCCCCTCCTCATTCCTCATCCTCCCCTCTCTGTCTGTTCATTTCTCCAAGGTTCTCGCCAACATCCTCTCTATGGGAGTGCTACGCCTTCGCGCTGGCCCCTCTTCATTACGCTAAACAGTTTGATCAATTATTCTATTAACTTTGCTCTCGCTTTCTTCCCTCTTTATCCCTCTCTGTAAATGTCTGTCTGCCTCCCGTCACCTTCCAGAGGCCTTGGCGGCGTCCTACCCCTGGGACTGCTACGTCTTTGCCCTGGCAGTTTTCGTGACGCTGACCAATCAGATTCACAAGTGGAGCCACTCCTACTTCGGCCTCCCGCGCTGGGTCACGCTGCTCCAGGACTGGCATCTGGTGTTGCCACGGAAACACCACCGCATCCACCATGTCTCGCCGCACGAGACGTACTACTGCATTACTACAGGTATGTGGTGGTACTGCTTCACTGAAATACTGCAAGAGTGGCCAAGTTTTCATGCTTTTAATGTGTACTCAAAACAGCAAATGTGATTACATGTAAATGAGATGAATTATTGACGACAAGATGTACTCTGCCTTTATTTCATGTTGACTTAAATCTCGAAAGTTTGTGTTTCCTGGTAGGTTTTGGCACAGATAGATTATTAAAATGCCTCACCTTTTAACCCTCCAAACCCCAAAACCTGTGAATGGGTGTGAAAGGCATGTTATCTTTAAAGTAATTGCCCAAATGACACCATTTATCAGAGACAGAAACTTAAAAAAAAAAAAAGACAGAATCATTGGATAGTCAGCTTTTCTTGAACTACTCACCTGTGACATGCTGTTCCATTGAGAATATATCTAAGCTTTAAAACTATTTAATTAAAAGTACTTGAGTGTAGATCTTTTATTTAAAGAAATGGCAAAAATAAACCATTTACTCTAACCAGATTCTCCTTAAAAACTAGAGACTGCACTCCTTGTCACAACTATGAAACTATTAATGGCTTTATGGCTGAAAATTCTGAGATTTTCTGCTGAACTGGGCTGAACTGCAGGTTGTGTTAACAAAGAGCACATAACAAACAGAAAGTTAAATTAGTGAAATATTATAATATGTAGCCCTGCGATAGACTGGCGACCTGTCCAGGGTGTCCACTGCCTTCACCCTAAGTCGGCTGGGATAGACTCATAGACTGTATAAAAGATGGACGTAGCAACTGGCCCTGAAAAATGAAACCAACCCGGAAGTGTCAAAAACCTGCAATATCACTTCGTCCGCTAGTCGTGGCTCCAAAAAGCCCTGGCTCCCATAGACTTGAATTGGAAAAGAAGTGATCACAGATCACGAAATACCGCATTCCTACAGCTCAGGATTTTTTTCTTATTAGTTTTCATGGTCAAATCCAGAGATCAGGTGGCCAATCTGAAAATAAATCAATACGGAATTTTAAAAAATCGTCAACATTTTGTGGGGCAAGGGGCGTGGCTGGCTTGATTGACAGTCGGCAGCAACAATACAGACGAAGCGAGCAGAAGGTGGTAAATGTGGGCGGGCAGAGAGGGCCCGCCTCTCAATCCGTCTGACCAATCGCTACTCCTATGGCTCCGTCCCCCTCTGACGATTTTTGGAAAAATACAAGATGTCAACCAGGAAGTAGCAAAACCCTGGCTCCATTTTCTCAGAGCAGGAACCAACGGGTGACGTCACGGTAGCTATGTCCATCTTTTATACAGTCTATGGATAGACTCCAGCCTCCCCGTGACCCTACTGAGGATTAAGCTGTGTATAGATAATGGCTGGATGGATTATAATATGTAGAGCCACCTTTTCCCCCCAAAATTGTTAACACCCTTGAAGAAATGTTGTACATGTTGATTCCAGGTTTTTGTAAACTAACTTTTTTTTTCATTATGACTGTGTTGTATACTGTGCAGACAACGTTGTTGAGTTCTCTACCCCTAACTGTGGTTGTTTGATGTCCATTGAGGTGCAGGACTTTATATTGCAGTGAAAAATGAACCCACAGTTTGTGAAACTGGAACAGAAGCAAACATAATGCTTGGGGTACAACCTTTGAATCACCTTTTAATTAACAATAAAATGGAAATATACAAACTAGGCTTAATATTAAGCCAGACTGTCATAGAGTGTAATTAGAGAGTTTCCGGTTTCCACATCTTGAGGAGAAAAGATTTGAAAAGATGCTTTTTTTATGTGAAACTCTGCACAGTAAGATCCAAATTGTAATTAAAAAAATAAAATGTTGTCTTCAGAGTACACATTTATCAGCCACAACATTAAAACCACTTGCCTAGCATAACATAAGTCGATCTGATTTATTGGTGTCCAAACACTGGAATATTTCCAACGGATCATTTGGGTCATGTGGGATGTAGCATGGGGCCTTCATGGGTCAAGCTTGTTCCATGCATGCTCAGTCGAACTGGAATCTGGTGGACATGGAGGCCTGTTAAACACCGTGAGCTCTTGATTGTGTTTCTCGAGCCAATCTTCAATGCAACGTTTGAAAAGTAACACCTACATGAATGCAAGACTGAAGGTTCCATTGTCACGAGAGGATCCCTTCACTTCGCCTGTCAGGGGTGTTCATGTTGTGGTAGGTTTTCTTTGCAAAACTACTAAACACAAAGTAAGCATCCAGAAGTCATTCTTCAAGTCAACCCTGAGTGCATGATAGAAATGAGGCCATGCAGTCATGGCTACTACCAATTCTGTTTGTATGAGAAGTTCTACTCTCTGTTAAACTTAAAGTTTGCCAAAGACACTGAAGAACAAATTAAAAATATTCCACCAAAAACAGTTCCTTTTTAACTTTTCCATCAACATTTAAAGGTGTCTCACATCACTTTTGAACACTATCACATGTTTTATCAGTGTGATTGTCGTGGGCGGCCATTTTAGAATCGCCATAATTGAAGCTGATGACTCTGGAACAATTTCACTCGCGGTTCTCGGGGCACATTCAAATAAAATGGCGTCCGTGTCTGTCTGTCGGTCGGCTTTCTTATAAATAACTAACAGAAAAATGTTCTGTTTGCGTGCGTGTGGGTCTTCAGAGACGCGAGGCCTCCGTAATAGATCCACATTCGGTATTCTGCGTGCATCTGGGTGAGAGAGGGAGAGAGGAAAAAAAAAAAAAGAGAGGATTCACAGGGGGGATTCGGCTTGTACGTCACCCTGCGCCCCAGCGGACGACAGATGTGTGCGCGAGTGAGTCGAGGTGGGGGGGTGGCGGCGGCGGCGGCGGCACAGTGAAATAGTGCGCGCACACTCTTGTGTACATCTGCATACTCGAGCATCTGTGTGTGTACTAGTCTCTTTGACCTCCTCTTCGGTTTCTAAACTGTGTGTGTGTGTGCGCGGTGGGTTGGTGGCGGTCGCGGGGGCCCACAGGGGACGGCGACGGCCCCCTGCTCCCCCAGCCCGGCTGCCTGGGCCCCGCTCGGATTCCACTGGGGCTCGCCTAGCTGCCTTTGTGTTTGCCACCGGCTGACAATCCCCATGTATATTTAATGCTAACCTGCTGTCTGTTCTAACAAATAGGACTTCACAGGCAGAGGGGGGGGGGGAGACGTGGAGGACAGGGGAGGAAGGGAGGGCGAGGAGAGGAGAGAGGAGAGAGGAGAGAGGGAGGGAGGGTAGGAAGCAGGGATTTGGAGGAATAAACAAAAGGAGGAGTGTGTGTGGCGAAAGAAAGGAGAAAGGAAGAGTGAAATCAAACAAAAACCTCTGGCTGCTGCACTGTCTTCTAGCCGAGAGAGGGTCACCGGAGGGACACGAGCGCACACACACACTCACACACCCCTGCAGCTATAGCATGCACCCTATGCAAACACATCATGGGTGGTGGTGCATCAGACAAGGGTGGCTTAAACACACACACAGCCCGATGTGGATGTTTCTATTTGCTTTTGTCTTCTTTTTTTTTTTTTTTTATTACCGAACGTGCGCGTGATTGACTGTGGGCTTCTGCAAGTAAAGCTGCATTTGTCTTGTGCCTCTGCATACAGCGTAATAATAGTAAAAATGGGTTTTCGTCTCAAATGTCAGGGGACTGCTTCTAAAGCTTGTACATGTGCTTCACAGAGAGTATACCACAGTCATGCATGCATTCATGTGTACATGTAAATGTACTTTGGCCCGCAGTCATACATACATTAATGTATTTACCTCAAAGACACATATTCGTAACTATTAGAGTTCTGTAAACTGCACAAGAATGGAGAAACTGTAGATACTGTAGGCGTGCGTGGGTGTTTCTGTGTGTTAGTCGGGGCTAAAGATGTCCCTCGAGAGAATCCCCTAGATCCCCTCCACCGCTCTGATGTGAAGTCTGTACATGATGATGACAGCGAGACGATAGGTTCAGATGTGGAGGGAAGAACGGAGGATCAGAAAGTGAATGAAGGAATTTTAAAGAAGGAAAGACGATGGATGTTGGAGGAAGTTGAGGACAGGAGAGTGAAATGTGAGGTGAAGCTTAGACGAGTTAGGAAGAGCGGCTCAGGATGTCTGGAGGGAGAGAGACAGGAGAAGGAGAAGGAGGAGGAGGAGGAGGAGGAGGAGAAAAAAAAGAGACGAAGGATATTTAGAAATAGGCCAATGTGAGCCAGTGTTCGCCCTGTGGGTGTAGTTGGAGCAGTGGGCGGGGCCACAGACAAAACAAATATCTAAATACAGTTACAAAATCCCTGCAGGGGTCCAAGAGTGGAGTGATCTGTCTAAAACGCTTAGGCTTGTACATCAGTGTCATCACTCACATCTGATAAAATATGGTTTAAAAATGCAAACATCGAGCTGTTTCAGGTGATTTATTGACTGGCTCAGTGACTTGCTTTTTAAAAAAATCTAGAACAAACTATTAAAAACTACTGGATGGATTGTTGCTACATTCTGTGCAGTTATTCATGGTTCCCAGAGGATGGATGGATAAAGTTGCTCTCTTCTCAATACATATCCTTTCATTGTGCAAACAGACTAACGTTTCAACACTGTCTTTATCAAAGTGGACAAAGCCATGAGGCAAATGGATATATTCAACCTCGTAGTCACTGAATAGTAGGTTGAACAGGATGTTAAATCGATGGGATGATGAATCAAAGAGTAGCAGTTGCCACACCTCATCCCAGAGATACACAAATACAGGCCTCCCTTAAGTTTACAGGAACAGAAGCACAAAAAGTATCAGAACAAACATCTGTTAAAGGTGACAACCCAGAGGAAACATGACAAATCAAGCAATTCTTTATGCTAGAGGGCTAAGATCATGTCAGAAACAAAACAAACCTGTCTTCAAGTCACAAAATATATAAATACCTGTCAAATTTGACACTTTTATGACAAATCCAGTTTCTCATTAATGCCAAAGGGCTCCACTGTGTTTGAAGTGTGGATCCAATGTGCCTCTTTGTGGAGCTGTGAGTTTAGGATGTCACCACCTCTCAGGGAAGGGAGGCTTCTTTTCTGTAATCCAGAACTGTACCGGTGCTGCAGAGCCTGTACATAATACCGGGCAATAGCATAGTTCATGCATTGTGTAGGTATTATAGTGTCATGTTCAGATATGCACATTTTTAAAGCTCTTATTGTCTGTCCAGCATGTACCAGAAAACAGGGATATTTCAACTTGTGTGCGCCTGCAGTTGATATTGGAATTAATGGAATATTTTTGCAAGTACATGGGTAGGTTACTTGGTGTAGGCCTCCCTCGTGATGCCAGTACAGCTCTGATCTGTCGGGCCATTGACACAGAACCCCTGTGGGTGTCCTGTAATATCAGGCAGTAGGATGTTGGTCCTTTGGGTCTTTTGGTTGCGGGTTGAGGGCTCCATGGATTGGCCTTGTTCTGGCGCATCCTGCGGATCCTTGATCACATTGGGATCTGGAAAGTTTGGAGGCCAGGTCAACACCTTGGGCTCTTGGTTGTGTTCTTCAAGCTGTTTCTGAGCAGTTTTTGTGAAGTGGTGGGATGCATTGTCCTGCTGGGGGAGGCTGCAGCTGTTGGGGATTATCGTTGCCATGGAAGGGTGTACCGCAGTGTTGGGCACTACGGTGTTTCCAAAAGATCCTTTGGTTCTTGTTGGTTGTGGGGTGGAGCCTCCATGGATCGAGTTTGATCTGGTGCATCCTGTGGATCCTTGATCACATTGGTATCTGGGGAGTTTGGAGACCGGGTCAATGCTGTGGGTTCTTTGTTGTGTTTCTCAAGCTGTTGCTGGAGGAAGCTGCTGTGTTTGGTCTGATAAAATATTTAGGTCAGTGTCAAAGTGAAACATAGATTAATGTCAGCACCCAAGGTTTCCCTGCAGAACATTGCATTATAACAAGATGGTCAACGCCTGTTCTTGATGCCTCCAGGAAGACTTCCTTTAAAGGGTTTCCAAGCACGTCCGCCTTGAAGGAGACCTCGAGGTAGACCCAGAACTTAATGGAGGGATTGTATACCTTATCTGGCCTGGGAACACCTTGGGATCCCCATAAGGAGATGGATGGATGGATGGATGGATGGATGATTGGATGGATGGACGGACGGATGGATGGACGGATGGATGGACGGATGGATGGATGGATGGATGGATGGATGGATGGATGGATGGATGGATGGATGGATGGATGGATGGATGGATGATAGAGGATGGATGGATGGAAGGATGGAAGATGATCAATGTGATACACTTCATCTGTCAGGGATTAATTATTGCCACCATCATGAGTTGCACTTTGCTAATCAGGACAAAACACAAACATCTATTCTTTGCTCTGGTCAGTTCTTATCATGAATTTTTCCTTCCTGATTGCTTTTTTCTTGTTTTCTCACTCCCCAGGTTGGTGCAACTATCCACTGGACCAGCTGGGCTTTTGGAGGCGGATGGAGCAATTGATCGAACACCTGACGGGGCAGAAACCACGATCAGACGACCTGGCATGGGCGAAGAAGACTGACTGATGAACAAACACAAGAATACAAATACACAGAGGGATGAAGGGAGGAATGGGCATGCAGACACAAATACATAGAGCTAGAAAACAGATGCGGAGAAACAGACACACACATAGATTTTACTCATGTCTCTGTGCTTCTTGCTTTTTTTGCTAAAGAGCAAACATTCAAAGAAAACCGTGTTTGCAAAAAAAAGAAAAAAAATCAAATGATGGTTCGAGTAATTCCTGTCCGCGCTGGAGTCGGTGTTTTTAAACGAGCTTTGGAACGTAGTAAAATTAAAACACTGCTAGATGAGAAACACTCTGCTGTAACACCCAGTCAGCTTGTGTGTTCGCAGGCCTGTTTTAACCAATGAGGTGTGCTGGTGTTGTGGTGTAGGAGGTTTCTGGAGGTTGGGCTCTCCAGGAGTGACACCACGCTGCCTGTCGCTGGCAGCTTCTTACACCACACACACACACACACACACACATACACACACGCACACAAATCTGGAAGTCAAATCTTCACTCAATGTCTCTTTTGAATCCTTTTCGTCTGATTTTTTTTTTTTTAAGTGTTGTGTTTTCGTTTTTCTTACATGAAAGCTCCTTCTGGAAGCATCACCGCCCTCTTTTAAATTCTCACGGCTACATTTGCACACAAGAAGGTGAAAATCTGATGATTGTGTGCTTCGGATCGAATATTTTGAAATCGACTCCCGTCTTTTGTGCCTGCGTCCGAGCTTACGTGATCTCACAGGCGGGTGGAGGACATGCGTGTAAAAACAGATTTTAAAAAAAACACATGCATCCACAGCAGCTTGCATTAATATATCCACATGTGAGCAATCAAGTTGCAGGTACATACTTTGAACCCTTTTAATGTGCATAGATACACAAGTTTAAATCACCCAGTAACGGTTAGTTGTTAACGGCACTTTACCTTCATTCTTGTGTGTTTGAACCAACTGTTGATCTTCTCCCTGTGCAGACATTTCTCATTGATTTTCCTTTAAAGTGAAAGAAGCTTTGGAGCAGTCCGGTTATCGTAGCTTTAGGAAGTCCACTTCTGCATGTACAAACGCAAACACGTCTAAATGAAGGTACTCTAAAAAGTTGTTAAATCTTAAGTCTGCATATGGAATTAAACTGAATTCAGGTGAGTTTAGCATCTTTAGTGATAAGTTAGTTTTAGAGGAAAAGCATTTAACGTTCTCGCACTTTAATGCAACTTACGACGGGGGCTGCCAGACTTTTTCCCTCGTCTGTCTTTATATACAGTTTTTACGACGGCGTCTACTGAGCATCGAAGTGAACGGAGCTGTCAGATTTCCGGTTTTCTTGACAGACAGTAAAAGTTCTGTAGCTGGAGGTTAAGCAAGTCGAAGTAGGTGAGTAGGTAAGTGACAAATAATAGACTTAAATGTGTACTTTGGGAAATTTTTATTTGCTTTCTTGCAAGGAGCTACGTGAGAAGATTGATGTCTGCAAGATAAAATGCAAGTTCCTGTATAGCATATTTTGAAAATAGTGCACAGCTGCTAGTTTAGCTCTTTAGATGTAACAGAACCCAACTCTGAACCTCACTAACTAAATATAACCTGAACTTCTGAACCAGTTGTCTCCCATGTTTACAGTGTTTGTGCTGAGCTTCATATTTAGCATTTAGTTCATGTTTCTCACTTCACTCTCTCAAGAAAGCAAATATTTCCCCATGAAGTGGTCGAGTGCGTCATCAAACAATTTAAGAGCTGAGGTGAAATGAAAAGAAGTTTGGATGATGTGTTCATGTTTGGATGTATTTCCTGGATTCTCTTTGGTCATTTTTAAGTGGCACATACAGAAGGGAAGTCTCTTTTTTTTTTGGCAGTGCTGGTTGGTTTTATTGTACCAAAAACATGCCTGCAGACATGTTGGGCTTCTTGGAGGAAGCTTGCGGCAGCCTCCAACACCATAAAACTCGACGAGGGTTCTACACGTGTACAACGCTGGACAGCTCAGGGCTGGTTATTGCCTCCAACTTCTGCTTCTTCTCACGTTCTGTATCATGATTTTTTATTCGGTTCAAAACAGCTACATAAAGCCCCTTCCTCAAAATTCGCTCATTCACTCACTCGGCTGATTTAGGAAAACTTTGTTTCCACAGATTTTGCAGTCACTTCTCAGCAATCAGACTTATTTCAATCTTGTTTTGATTCATCATCGCCGCGTCACGTCCCAAAAATCCTCTCCTCGACTGCAACTGTAAATATTCAACTTCAGCATTTCTGAACGAGAAATGTGTCACAGCCTCCCTGAACTTCAACCACAGCGACTCATTAAAGAGATGCATGGCGTCATTTTTGACATCGGTTTGCGTCGGCTGATGTGAGCCGAGTAGGGAAAAAAGACAAACTGTGACACGTGCACTTTAGTTTGCTGTTACTAACTCTCTGCTAGAGAGGCTGGCTGCTTGACTCATAGTTTTTATTCTAGGCCCTTCAGTCCCAGAAGGTCAATAATAACAGCACTTTATTGTTTTACCAAGTAACTGTCTGAAAATTACGTCCTGCGAGCGCCCGTTCACTCGTCTCATCACACACGTACAGGTTCGATCAGGCTTCACCTGCATGCACACAGACACACACACTGAATAAATCTCCTAAATGCAGTCATGTACACACACACACACACACACACACGCTCTTTGTCACATTGTGTTTTGTTGTTTTCTCTGGCTTTATAATTTTCTATTTTTTTATTAATGGATCAAGCCTTGTATAGTCAAATTCTGACGTTCCATTTTGCAGCTCAACGCTTGCTGCTCGTCTGCCTTAATGTTTTTATCTGCTCTTTGATTTAAATAAAGATTTATTAACTCCAAGTGTTCCCTCACTTTGGCTGTCTCAGTACAAAACACGTATGTGAAGATGTGTATCTTTAGTTTGTGGTTTGGATTTAGCACGACCTTTCAAAACAACAACAAAAAGCAGCTAATCTCATCTGATAAATCTGGTTTCATTTTTTTACCAGGATGTTTGCTGCGCTGCTCAGAGGATTGATGGGCAGTTCCACTCAAGTCACATGATTTTAATGCACTTTCAATGACTCCCATTAGTGCCTTTAGTCTTAGAAGGTTAGGAAGTCTGTTGATCCCAGCGTATGTGCAGATGAAATGAGGACACGCAAAATGGGAACATGTGGGCAAAGGAAGTGCACTTTTTATTAGTGTTAAAAAAGGGTGGGGGGGGTTTCTGTCAAGGTTAATGCACTGAGCAGCTCAAATATTTAATTTGGAGGAAACGCACAAATTTAAATGCCACTGCTGAACCACCAGCACCCTCTAGTGGTAAAATCCAGCATCTGCTTGTGACCCTTGAGAGAGATAGATAGATAGATGGATAGATAGATAGATAGATAGATAGATGGATGGATAGATAGATAGATAGATAGATAGATAGATAGATAGAGGTCACAGCCCGTTCTGCTCTACATCTCAGCTGTGTCCTGACCTCCCACACCGGTTCACTGAGTCTCACCGTCCAGAGCTGCCTCCCCAGAAAGCAGAGCCCCTGTTGGGGTACAGCTGCCGCCGCGGCCCCTGTGGATCCCACCGAGAGCCGCAGGCAGGGGCCGGAGCCGGGGACGAGGGAAGGTAATTAGAAAGGAGAGAAGACAAGGACAGGGAAGGCAAACAGAGGGGAGGATGGTCAGAAACTGATGCAACATTTACTTCCAAGGCTGGGAGACGTTTCCAGGTCTGTTAAATAAATGAATGCAGAAAAAGCAACATCTCAGTAAGATGGGAATTGTTGTAGCAGTCATATGAAGCCCTGAGAAAGAGAACTACAACCTCATTTATACACTAATTAAGCATTACTTTTAATATTATACAGTCACATTTTACAAGACAAACATTTTGGGATCACTGTTAACTTTGCAATAATAAAAAAAGCAAGAATAAAGCAAATTACAGGAATAAAAACGATGATGCATTAACATGATGAGTACATGTTAAGATTTGACATGAACCCTCTCAGCTGGATTTTGTTGATTCATTGCTTGAAGGTTCAGCTGTGTTTCATGAAGCTGCACCTGGTCTCAGTACTTTGGGTTAAATGATGACGATAAAACGCTCACAGTGATGATGCTAAAGTGAATTTTGTGCTTTTTAGGTAGTGTGTTAGAATTTTTCTCAGCACTAAACAAGATGGATAGAGGTTTCGGACATCTCACTGTTTTGATATGATGGGTGCAGAAAAGTGACCAGCGAAGCTTTAAGGAGAGCAACACTAGAAACTTTATTAGAAAGCATAATTTCAATTTTGTGTAGCACTGAGAGAAAAGTCAAGGAACCACCAAAGTGATTAAAATACATCCTCAAGTGACAATCAATGTCTGTATAAACTTTCACGGGAATTGGTGCAATAATGGTGGAGATATTTCACTGTAACGCTGTCATCCCTAAAGCCACGCTTATATTTTTTAAAAGAAGAAATCAAATGTTGTCAGTTAGTGGAGAACACAGCTTTCCTTTTAAAATCGTGTTCAATAAAGTACCGCCTGTCCTAAAGTTATTCTCTAAGGCAATAAAAAATGCACTTCACCTAAAAACTGCAGCATCTTTACAAAGAGGAGACAGTTCAGCTTGAATCTAATCACAAGAATTAAAACACAGTTTGATATGTTGCTGATGATTCAAAAAGCATCTGAAAAAACAAGCTTCACTTACTTAAAAAGAAAAATAACATTTGCTGTAATCTTCAAGATAAATTGAATCCTGAAGAATGTATTAAAAAATTAAAGTTGGTTTTTGACTAAATTGACAAAATAAAACGACTTCTTCAATGGGATTTAAAGTTTTTTTTTTCTTTATTCAAACAACTAATTTGGAAAATGTCAACTTTGTCAACTTTAATGATGCATCTTTTTTTCGACAACTAAAAATCATATTTTGTTGGCATCACAGTCAGTAAACGACAGAGCTCACCTGCTCAAGTGTAATTAAACTCCAACTAACCAGTTTCTAAAGAATAAAGCAGCACAGAAATTATTTTATATTCACTTTACCCTTATTAGCATATGTTAACTTGGAATTTTTTTAGCCTGATGTTGAACATGTGCTTGTACTGAGATAAACTTAATAGTAAAACTATAAACAGCAACAATGTGCGTATTTGCTTAGACCTAATAATGTTTTAATCATGTGATTATAAAATGAATTCGGAACATGTCTTGCTTGCCCCCCAAAAACCTAAAAATACAATATTTTTAGATTTCAATTTTTAAAATTATTTTTATGTTTTCATTAAAGAAAAAAAAGAAAGAAGAAGATTTCAACTGAATTGGCTAAAGGGCAAAATTAAGCCATTAAGAATAAAATAAAATTTAAAAAAAATTAAAAATAAAATAAAATAAAATAATAAAATAACTATTTGCTTATTTATATAAAGTTTAAAATATCCTACGTCCCACTAAAATACAATTATCAACAATTAACAACTGAAATTAACATTTTGTTGGCATCACAGTCAGTAAATGAGAGAGGTCACCTTCTGAAGTGTATTTAAACTTTATATTTAATTCATCCAACAAACAAATATCTTAAGAATAAAGCAGCACAGACTTCACTTAATAGCATTTGTTAATTTTGAATTTTTGGTGTGAGATTAATTTACAGACAGATAGACACACACACACACACACACACACACACACACACTGGCTGTAACATGTCGCAGAAGCCTCCCTCGTCTCACGTGTCTTCATATAGCTCACAGTGAGAGCTCCTTTGTCATTCCCAAATTACTGCCATCACTTCCACTGTTACACCCCGCGCTAACAAGGCACACATGTAGCTCGCCTTCCTCTCTCACACACACTCACACATGCTCTCAGTGTCTCTGCGTGGCGGTGACATATTGGATCTCACTATGCTGATGTGCTTGGCTGATCAGTGTCTCATGCTGCTAGCTATTAAAGTTTCTATCAGACACACTGAGACGCAGGACTTGATGGCGACACTAGATGCGAGGACATGAATATGCAGCTTCTCGCCTGATACTTCATTATAATAACAAAGTTTAAAGTTTCTTTAAGCGTGGATTTACAGAGCGCTGTGCATAGTGATCAGCCGAGTCATAAAAACGTCTCAGAGTTGCTTTTATGCTGCACTAGTTTACCTTTTTGCACCATTTTTGTCAAATCTCGAAGGAATAATGTGGCTCTTTCTGCTCATTCTGCTGATGTTGAGCAGGTGATGTGAAGTTGGTTTATTGGCGTTTTGCTGAACCCAGTTGTGAGAAATTAGGTTAATGACAGCTGGGATACTTGTCATTTGCTGCGAAATCAAAACAGTGAGTTAGAAGACGGGATAATTGTCCAATCTGGATTCTTCAAGCGACTGTTTTCAGCTCACGATGGCCACTTCATCAAGTGTTATTACAACAAAATTAGACAGTGCAGCGTTATTTTTAGTGGCAGGACGTGGCTGAGTTTAGGGAGGCATCCATAGGCTAAACTCAGCGCAAAATACACCAAAAAAATAAGAAAAATAAAAAAAACTAAACTACAAATGAGCCTATTTGTTGTGCCTGAGTTAACACACACATGGTGTTTTAATCATTTGATTGATGATGTCGTACTTACACAAAAATATATTTTTAAAAAAAGTAAAATTTGTGATTGGTAATTACATTTTTTAAAAGTTAAATTTAATCAGCTGAAGGGCAAAATTAAACAATTATATTCAATCAACGTTGAATTTTAAATTGATTATTTTTTTATTTAGAAAAATGTTGTCTCATCACTGAAGAGAAAAATTAAGACCCCAAAAAGTGAATAAATAATACAAAATAAAAACAGTGATGTACTGACTTGTTTGGCCCTGAATGAACAAACATGTTATTATAATCATGTGATTTTTGATGAATTACTAAGATGTCAAACAAAAATATCACATCAATAAATTCATCTTAATTTACTATTACATTTTAATTTAATAACTTTTTTTTAAAAAGCTTTTTTGTTAAAATGTAAATTAAATTGGCTGAAGGACAAAATTAAGCAAGAAAATAAGTAAATATTTGTTAAAAAATGGAACAACAACAGTTTGAAAGTTTAGAAGTTTAAGATATCTTACTTCCCTCGATATATATATATCGGGAATATAATTGATTTAAAAAAAAAAAAACTTTTTTAAAGAGTTTTAAAATTGAAGTAGATTATTGATTTTTTGTAAAGTTTTGTAAAGATTTTTTTTTTTTCAAGATTATTTTTTTCTGGCCTTTTTACAGTTAGGACAGTGAGGGAATGAGAACCTACAGCAAACTGTTGTGAACAGGAGTTGAACTCACGACCACTACGTCGGGGAACTGCAGCCCCTGTTCATGGATTACCCACACAACCAGGTGAGCTATAGGGACGCCCTAAAGACTGTGATTCTAATTTAAAATCTAAATTGTAGCACTGCACCTCTTATGTTTATATTTTCCTATTTATCTGTGTTTGTCTGACGATAATCTCCTCAGTGTTTGTGGGCTGTTCTCTCTGTGTCGACTCTGTTCAAAATGAATACATGAAAAATGCAAAAAAAATGAATGAGTTTACTGTTTTCACTTGTCATTGAGTTCTGGAGATGAACCTCAATTCAGACCCCAGTTAGACCTAACTTAACCTAACTAATTGGATTCATCAGGCTTTAAAAAAAAAAAAAAAAAAGTGAAGTCAGCGAGTGGAAGTAACAAAGAGCCTCGACTCGTCTCTAATGACATCTGTAAGTGTGGCAGCAGGTGACTTCTGTCAGGCCGGGTGTGACAATCTTCTTGTTACAGATTGAGGTGTGCTCACACTCCTCCCAGTCGCCTGCTGTGTCTGTGCACACCT